AAATTCATAAAATAATACATGATAAAGAAAAAAATTGACGTAAGGCTTCTGGATATTCAAGTCCAAAGCTTTTGCATATCCAATAGTAGAATCCTACAAATAGAGCGAATACGGCTCCCATAGAAAGTACGTAATGAAAGTGTGCTACTACATAATAAGTGTAATGAATTAAAAGTAACCAACCGTCAGGTCAGGCAGCCAATAAGACACTAACCCCATTGGGGGGACGCGTGGGTGAGCGCATACATAATCACAATAAGCTGGTTGTGTTATTGTGACGGTTGCGTTGACTCTTTTGGGTGAGTTGCATTCTTAGCTCAACTGGATTGGGCAACGAACGATTTATTTTTATAATTAATTTTGCTAGATTACGGATAATGTCGGTTGCTTTATTTGGCATGAAGTGCCTTTGAAATACGATACAGTGATTCAAATAAATATGTGATTTATGAGTTTATTAAAACGATTCAAGAATTTCGTGATTTTGATTTTAGAGTCCTTGGTTCCCTAGAGATGGATATAACTATTAAAAAAAAAGAATGTAATCTCGGGTGAGAAGGCAACATGAAGTTTGTGAACAAATTTGTTGGAGTGGAACTATCTGCTTTATTGGATCGAATAAAGATTGATCTAAACTAACATATTTTTTTTATCAAACGTCGTTTCCACAAGGTGCCTTCAAGAATGCACCTAAGATCTAAGGTTTCCTGACGACTCTTTGGTATAATGTATGGGACTAATTGGGTGGTTCCAATGCGACCCGCATTTGTACTCCAGCAGATGATTCGCGTTTGATCTATCGCCGTAGTGGAGCCAAAGGTGAAGCAAAGGCCTCTCTTATTCGACTTTAAGGCGAACATATTCTTTGATCTTTGACGCGATCGAACAGAGACGAAAGTCGGTCATAGTGATCGTGGGACCCCGCATGGAATGGCTCTCGCTCAATGGATCAAAGGTACGTTGGGGATAATAGGCTGATGACTCCCAAGAGCTTTTGTCACAAACAGTTTCACAAAAATATGCCTCTAGCAAGGTCTGTAAATGAATGAGAGAATTGACAGCTATTTTTAGTCTTTATTTATTGCGTGTTTCCTCAATATTAGGTGCTAATTATCCACATTTGTTTTTCCCAATCTAAAGCGCCCTTCTTCCATTCATAAACAAAACCCATTCCAATATAAATAAGTTCGACCTGAATGGTTCACCGGTTCCACCAAATGCTCTCATCCCGAAATGGGATTCCAACTGTCAAGTTGGACGAGAACGCAGATTGCACTTTGAAGAGAACTGAGAAAAGCCATCCCTAGTATCAAGTATGCGACGTGCTTGGTTTCACGTTCAAGTCCGTCGATTTGCGCTCCTTGCCCTCTGTCGGTAGGTGCGAAGTGTGGTAGGTACTACGAGCCCTCTGCCCCATTCGAAAAGAGCTTTGAATGGTTCACCGGTTCCATCGTATGCTCTCTGGGTTGACTTGAGTACGCAGTGCGCTTCTGAGCGTAAACAAAGAGGAATAAGTAAAAGAAGGATACAAGTTTCCTTTATGAAAAGGAATCAATGGAATAATAGCAAATCGTTTTAGTGGACTAAACGCCATTATGAATTCTCTTTTTTTTTACGGAGCTTTTGGTGATCGATCTGTCAACGCCAAAGCAGTCTAATATACTCGGAAAAAAGCAAAGGTTGTAGGCTCGCTTCTGGTGAGAGAGAGAGAGAGAGAAAGAATCGACAATGAGACTTTGGGCATTGCTCGATTCAATGACAATGCGACACATTGTATGAGCTGCGACATTGGGTGTATTGGAGACTGGGTTCATCGGGCTATGGTGGCTGGTCCTCCCTATCTCTGTCCTCCTGTCGTCTCTTCTCACCCATTCGTCCGTGGATGGATCTGGACTCAGCGTACCTTCTATGTATGCTGCGTTGAGTCCACTCACACTGAGTGATGATGAGTGTTGTTAGGACCTGTCATTGTCCATGCTGAGTCAGATCTTGGTATTCCAGTCTTTCACGTGCTATTTTTATATTGTCTCTGAGAGTTGGTTCTTGGTTCTAATCGATTCCGATCAGGCATGTGACATCCAACCAGCGTCACCCCCAATACTAGCTAGACAATCTACTTTAACCCAAACCTATCCCCCCCCCTTTGTTTCATCTCCCCCGTTTCCAAATCTACCTTCCCTGGTGCAAACTGGAGTTGTCCTTCCTAATGGCCTATCCCAAAACCTCCCATTCCTCTTTGGCCTCTATGTCTGGTGCCAGATTGTCGTTACCATTGAGCAGGTTCCCAAACTTATATAGGAGCCATTTGCTAGGTTGAGTTCAACCGGCGGCGGGAACGGTCTCCATGTTCTATAAAATAAGAAATTCTTGTAGAGAGGGGCCCGAGAGTTCAGATGCCTGCGTCGGAAGTCGGCCGCTATTGCCTGTCTGCGCGCTTGCCTGACTGCTGCCCTCGTTGCTGTCATTGCCGGTTTCTCGCCTTCCGTCACAACTGCACACCTGGTTTTCCAAATTCCCCAGCATGCGGCGGCTCTAGTTATCTCACCAGCATACTGGGTGGCACCACTGCTTGATCTCACTGACTTGTACCAGGGGTCCCAACAGTATCCCCTCCGTTGTCAGTTGCTTTTGGGAGAGCTGGGTCCATCACTTGCTTTCACCATTCCCAGAACCTAACTGCATATTCACTTCCCAGGAACAGGTGGGGGATTGTCTCATCGACCTGTCCACACACTCCGTAGATTTTGTTATGGTACTGTGATTTGGAGGCCTGCCACTTCACGGTGACCACCGCCAGATGGACTATCATCCACAGCAGGCCAGCCTGCTTATGATCTGGGAGCGTAGCGTTGAGCTGTGTGAACCGGCGGATCGTTGCTGGGGACCACCGCTGCAATATCCGCTGGGGCACCCACCGTCTCTTTCCCCATCTCCCTTTGAGCTCAAAGCTTATATCGTATGGCTGGAGCAATTCCAGATATAGGGATTTCATGGGTGAAGTGAGCTACGGTCGCGGGGCTGATACCACAAAAGAAACGGGCCACAGACAAACTAAAAATGGCGCGATCGGGCTCCCATGCAAATGACACTGTCAGCAACCCTCGAACATGCAACCGCTGCCACAACACCTACAACCAAAACAAAAAAACTCATGTGGCACCATGTGTTCCTGAAGTGACTGTGGGGACCTCGTTTTCACTGGGCCCGTGGCAAGCGTCTCGGTGTATATCATACTTGCGGCGCACTGGTGCGGTGCAGGATGCAGTGCGGTGTGCCCTGCGGAATGCGCGCGGTGACACTGCGCGCACGAGGTGCGCCGTGTACGCAGCGCATGGAGGCGTGCTACTGTGCAAGGGTGCGCACTGTGCGCCCTGTCTCTTATACACATCTAGATGTGTATAAGAGACAGGTGTGTGTATGTGTGTATGTGTGTGTGTGTGTGTGTGTGTGTGTGTGTGTGTGTGTGAGAGAGAGAGAGAGAGAGAGAGAGAGAGAGAGAGAGAGAGAGAAACCGTGTGCTGACACTATCAGACCGAAGAAACCGCCCTTATCAACGGCCAACATGAATCCGGAAGCGGGGCGACATGCACAAAGGACAAAAAATATGGCGGTGTATCTTTCCATGTTCTGGCGGAAGATTCATTCCCATTTTGCTCATACGTTGGGTGGTGGAGAGCGAAGGGCCGTTGCTCCGGTACTATTGGGTGGCGGTGTATCTTACCAAATGTGCAAAATGAGAATGAATCAGGTAAGCGCGTAACGTATCTCTGGAACCTTTCTTTTTTTTGTTTTGGAGAATCTCTGAACAAATGAGATTGAATCCTCCGCTTGAACATGGAAAGATACATTGCCATATATGTCTTGTGTGCATGTCGAGAGTAGTGCAGCAAGCCCGTTGGTGAACAGTACCGTAGAGTTTTTTTTCTTTTTTCTTTTTTTTTTTTATGAACTCCCATGGGGCGTCGCCGTATGGCACACGAAACGAAAAACGAAACGATTGCATCTTTCTGCAGAGAATGGCCAGGTTAATCGGTTTGCTAGGCCCTTGATGTCTTGAGGCCGTCATCCTTTCAAAGAAGGAAGTGGCTGTCAGTTCCGCTGATTTTCTTCCTTCACATTTTTTTTTCTTTTTATTAAAAAAAAAAAAACTCCAGGAAAAACGGCTGTCAGTTCTGTCGTTTTCTACTTCAGAAGTATAATAAGAAGAGAACGTTGAGAGATCACGACCCTCATCATGACTGAATCTGGCCTGCAAGAACTCTACCATACAGACTGCAAGTACCCTACCATACACAGAGTGTTACGGGACTACAGGTTTCGAAAAGCTTTCAGGCCAATGTGCGGCCTCCAAAAAAACTTTGCCTGCCCGTTTCTTATTTTACGCGAGCAGGGGGCCGGGTCTACTACCGCCCCTCACAACTTTTTTTTTTTTTTTTTCGACCCCCATTTTTGGAGGTGCGCCGCATGCAGTGCGCGCGCGTCGTGCAGGATGCGTGGTGCGGCGCACGTGCGCAGTACAGCGCATCGTGGTGCGCCGCATGTATGGTGTATATTCTTGAACTGCCGTCCTTTTCTGGATAATGTAATAAATCTACCTGGTTTCTTATGAAATCAGAACCAAATTACGAATGGCCTTGTCATGATCAGATGCTAGTATTTATTTAGGGAAGCTGATTTTCCAAATCATCTCGTTGGTATCAGCATAGCATAGAAAGAACTGTTGTAAGTGGTTTTAAATTTGCACAGAGGTCATGATGAGGAAAATCTGTTTATATTTGAACATTTGAACACGGATTGCGGCGTTGGAGATACCTCAGCAGGGTTGTCGTCTGACATTTCCTTATTTTTGCGGCAATGGAGAGTGGGGTTACACTGTTGTAGAGCAGGGTTGTCGTCTGACGTTTGTTCTTGTTGCGGCAATGGTGTGTGGTAACACTGTCGTATGCGCTCTGCTCATGTTTTCCATGGCTATTGTTTCGTTGCTGGTGTTTCTGTCTCAGGGTGAGCCCATCAAAGACACCAGTTAGGCCTCGCTCTCCTCGCCAACAGATGCATTGAGGTGTATGAGCATTTCAGAGGCTTATGATTGTGCTCAGGCTTTTGGTCTTGTGGTTGCCATATGATGGCATTCCTTGTTGTTCTGCACCATGCATCCTAGTGTGTGCCCTCTGCTGCTATTCGTAACACGGTGTAGTAGTCTTTGTGAGACATGAGCTGCATCAGGGCAAGTGTATTGGAGTGGAATGCTCCGGATATCTGAGTAAATATTTGTGGATGTAGCTGGTTGACCTGTATAGGGTAGAACATTTACATCATTTGGTAGGTGCACTCCCTCACTCTGTCTGCTGCCGCTCTCTCCCTTTGTCTACCTCTTGCTAATCCTGGGGTTACTGGCTCACCTGCGCTCTCCCACGTGTGGCCACTTCGGCAACACGTGTTGTTGCCTGTGACAGCATTGTATGAATGCATATCCATGCATTTGATGGTGTAGCATCGCCTGTCTTCTGCACCTATCTTTTTTGGTCGTCCTTGGTATCATCCCAATTTCCCATGCAAATTTGTAATAGATGGCAACATGGAAACAGGACAAGGGAGGATATAGATCCGTAAGCGAATGATAAGCGTGGTGATAGCATCGGGGAGTCTTTTGGGCACGGAATAGTAGTGAATGGAACACTAGTCGCGTCACAACATCACAATTTAAGCACAGAGTGAAATGGGAGTTTGAAACCATTCCTGCAGACGTGGCTGTACACAATATCTTGCGAGGAGCTGCAGTGTAGGCAAGGACTGTGGTGGGCATGTGTGTTCCTCTTTCTGGCAGGCTATATACCCATCTGTGCTGGGGCTAGGCATGGGCTGTGGGAAGACCCGGTATAGTGTGTTGCGCAGTGAGCTATTCAGATGTCATTTTCTCTACCTAACACGCGAAGGGTATAGTGTGTTGCGCAGTGAGCTGTTCCTCTCTGTGGCAGGTTATGTACCCGGCTCTTGAGGTGTGTACTGGTCCTGCTTAGCCCTTGTTTTTTTCTCATGTGTGGATGCATGGAGCTTGCAAATGCGGTCGTGCAATGTGACATGGTTGAGGAGAGAGGCATCTGCTGGAGTCCTGTGCCTTGGCTTTAGACATGTAACCGTTAGTGTGTTCTAGCTGTCGCTGGAAGAGGAGGGTTCAAGCTGCAATTTAGGGATATTTTCCATGTGAAAGAGTGGCTTTATGAATGCGACCCGGCAGCAGTGATAAGTCGGGCCACTCGACCTGTCCTGAGATGAGGCAATGGAGACAGTGCAAGTGCGGTCACTCGGAAAAGAGAAATGATGGCGCTGGTGCCTCCGTGGAAGTGCACCCTTGTCAGGTGCCAGAGGATGTTTTCCACAGAAGTGGCACCTAGTGGTCACACGGTGCGAAGATCTCAGGAATGAGGGGGATCAATCAGATATCTGAGCCATCTGTATGCGACTGCCAACGAAATGGAATGGAGTGGAAGATCTGTTTGTCACTTGCAGAAGGCCTGTATCCAATTGGCAACGAAAAATGTGGCTGATGCTGCAGCAAATTGTCCTCTAGAGATGACAAACGGTGACTGATGCAGCAACAGCAAACTGGGATTCACCTCAAGTCAGGTCTGGTCCACATCAGGGCACGATTGTTGGAAGTGGGTTGTCGAGAAATATTTTGAGAATAACAAATGACGAGGTGGAAATGAGCAGAATTGGTTGCATATGCTATGGAGGGTTATTTGCCACCTCATTCTCTTGGCAGTGGTGTTCATTGCAGTTGTGTCCTTTCTCCATCCTCTTGGAGTTGTCGGGACACTCGTTTGCCACCCTTTGTCATTCACTTTCGGGAGGACCACTCCTTGTTTGGAAAATAAAAGAGAGATTGTCAACCTATGTTGAAGCTGCAAATTCGTGGCATTGTGGTGCATTGTCTGTGCCAGCGGAGTAGCCATGCCAGCGACTGTCCTGAATGGAAGACTGTGGTTGAAGGTCCAGCATGACTGGGCTGCGCATTCTGCTTTTTTCTTTCTTCCTTTTATTTGGCTTTTCCTTACTTCCGTGCCTTTGTGACAATGCTCTAGCATCAACCTGAAATCTGGCCTCGTGAGCATTGTCAGCAATGCATGTAACAATTACAAGAGCCGTGCACTTCACAGCAGACAGCTGTGCTGACAGAGCTGACGTCTGGGTTTCTCAAGCTGGACGCGCTGTGTCTGTGCTCTATGGTATCTTCCCCTGATGTCACCTTTCTGTAGTCAGTCTGACTGTGGCTCTCTGCAGGTTTTCAGCCTAGGACTGTTGCAACGAGTGGTTCTGACCTTTGTGGAGTGCGGCATGTTCTCATCCAAGACAAGTTACTTGGGAGCATAATTCTCTGCAACAGATTGAGACTGTCTTCTTGCTGCTATCGTGTGCCCAAGTTCACAAGTACCTAGCCAGTCTGATGCAACACTGCAACGACCTGCAGTCTTATTTTATTGTCTTCACCGAACCAAGGGTAGTCATTACAGATTGGAAAGACATGCATATTGTACTGCCTAGGAATGTCTAGTATCTAGCCATTTGTTCACAATGACATTCCGATGGTTCAACATGTCTTCCATGTATGGACTTCTGTGTGTGTGTGTGTGTGTGTGTGTGTGTGTGTGTGTTTGGGGGGGGGGGGGGGGGGGTATTGTATTGGGAGACACTCCACCACAACTTGGTAACTTGAACTTCGAGTTTTGTCAGTGCTTATTTTAAGTGTTTAGAACCAGAATCTGTTGCAAACATACAGTCAGGATGTCGTTGTTCATCATGCTGACTCGTCATCATGGTAATGGGGTCCGTAGGCTTTCATTATTTAGCCATTGCGGCACACCCAAACAAGACATCACATTCTAAGCTTTGGTGTGTTCTCCAGTCATGACGTCAACCTCCCTGTGACCGAGTTTCGTCTTTTGGTGGACTTTCAGAAGTGGTTGATACTGGATGTTTTCGATGTACAGAAGAGTCTTCTCTCCTTTGGTGCAGTGTCCGGTGCCATTGGGATTGAGTGTTGTTTTAGGGGTGTTGCTGTGGAATTCGCAATGGATCCTCACCTGCTTGTTTGGCAATTTTGCCACCCATCATGTTTCACACCATGTGCCGCTGGAGAACAATGGTTGCAAGGTCCTCCCAAGCATGCTCGGAAAGCTTTTCCGGTTTCTGGTCGGGATGTCCTACAAATATTTATGGCAGCTGTTGCAGATCAGTAAGGAGGTATCCTCTGGGGGAATGTGGACCCTTTCTGAAGCCTAGTCGGCTGCAGCCACTCCCGGAGATCAGTCAAGCCCATCATGCAGTCATGCTGTTCTGGTCCAGTGAATGTACATCTTTGCTTTATGTATCGTGCATACGACTTCCCTCCTGTAGGTTGTGAACTGTAAGTGTCCTGCTGAACATCTCTCTCTCTCTCTCTCTCTCTCTCTCTCTCTCTCTCTCTCTCT